GAAGCAAGAAAGGAAGAATATAGTGGTGTCTTTCCATAAAACCAAGAAAGCGGTTGCTAGCTAGTTTTAGTCACTGCCATAACGATTTCAGCCAAATTACTTCAAACAGGAACTTGAGATCCACCATTAACAATTTTAATTTATAGTGTCAATTAAAGAGCAATTTGATTTCCAACTATACTTTCACACAAATAGTTTAGATTGGCCTGTGAACAAACCAAGGATCCAACAGAATTTTGGAGCTAGAGGGGACTTTCTGGGCCCTCACTCTATTCATGAGGAAACTGAGAACAAAGAGTTGTCCTAAAACAAACAACTAATTTCTTCACTGTTTAAAAGAGGGAAGAACTCAACCTTCTTGCTCCTTGTCCAGGCCTCTGGTAAATTCAATTTATTTCTTCTAACTACTATATAAATATCATTTGTGGTTCCTGAAAATTCCCAAGTGGTTCTGGAAAATTTTCATTTTCCAATCCTATTTCCAAATCACCTGAATAAAAAGAATTTCAGTTCCAGGTTGGATACAATAGAGAATTCATAGAACTCAGCATGGTGAAGGAATTTAGAAACTGTTTGTCTAACATTCTTTTTTTTTTTTTTTAAACAAAACAACTTAAGTAACTTGCTACATCCAGTGAGTCAGACACAGAGTCCAGAGTGGAACCCAACTTTGCTAACCCCCAGGATAGTCTCTCCCTGTATTTCCTATTCATTTTACTTAAAAAAAAAAAGGCAGTATGATCCTACACAAAGAATACACACTAACTGGGTGACACTGGGCAAGTCATTAAACTTGAAAACTAAGTTTTCTTCAACTATTAAATACACAGGGTCAATCAGGTGAGCTCTGAAGTTTCTTACTTCTTTCCATGAATCTGGAATTGTTAAGATAGGGTTCAAATGCACCATTAGGTCCTGGGTCCCAGTGGCAAAATGAAATACTGCAGTCCAACTCTCTGAGTAGCTTCAAAGAGCTATAGAGAAGGAAAGCACAGACAACCAGAAGAGAATAGAATGGAGTTCAGGAACTCCTTAGCATGGACCCAAATCTGGAAAGGTAGAACTAGCTGGTGAATCTGTGGTTTTAGATTCAGTAAAGTGCTTCAGAAAGTTGCCATGTGCCATAATTCCACACCTACCACAGGTTCCCAGGAAGTTAACTTCTCTTGAGCATCTAGTTTTCACCTCTAATTATTCCTTCCCACTAATGTTCTGAGAATGCATCTAATATAGCTGGACAACTAATAATAAATTATATAAATTATATATGCTATTAAGGCCAAGAATTTGGTTTCCTTTAAAAACAGCATTCAACAGTTGGTAATTGTTAAAACAAAAGACCAATAATACCTAAGTCTGATTCTGATATATTTGAGGATAGAGTAACACGAATGTAATCAACCTTTTTCTGAAAAATCATGAGAGGCAGACCTCAAAGGCCTGTTCCTAACTCATTCCTCAGCTTACATTTTGCTATCAGGCAATTCTTGCTAGCATTTATATAGTTAATACCACTACTTATGTCTTCATAACCTCAGTTTAAATAACTATAAGAAAGCACCTGTACAAAATCTCTTCACATTGAATTATTTTCCTACAGTTATTCACTCTGTTCTTCCTTCGGATATATCCAATTCTTTCCTGCCCATAATCTGTTTTTCTTTCTCTTTGCCCTAAAAATCTTTCCTATAGGGCATGATACTTATTAAAGGCTGGAACAATAATGAAATACAGTTTCATCCCCATCCCCAAAACCTTCCATCGATCCCATCAGTTGTATGCTTATCTAGTTGATACGTTTTATCCTTTGAGCTTCTAAGTGGATTTTCATAAATTCTAAGTAGAGATACCTTTGGGATGAAATATGTTTTGATAGGTAAATCCTAAATTTGGGCAGAATAAATAGTTTAGAGCTCCCCATGAGTACCCTAAAGGTAGGACTGGGGCTAGGATGTGACTGGACATGTGGGCATTGGTGGGAAAACCAGAAGAAAAGAATTGATCACTGGCATAGGTTTCTGCCCCTCTTTCCAAGCTGGTGAAGGTAGAGGAAAAAGAGGAGACAAATAAAAAAGCCCTAGCTAGGTCTGGAGGATCCAAGAATAGATGAGGCCTAAAGACACAGAAAGCCAGGTAGGGAAGTTCCCCATTCCCATGCCACACTCAGGCCAGTAAGAGGCTCTAGGAGTAAAGCAGAAAAACTAGCCTCATATACTTGGGCAATGAGGACTTGACATTCTCATTGATTATTCCAGAAGTTTCAGACCATCTGATTCTACTACCACTAGCATCTACTGTCAGTGGATGCTGTGTGCACTAAGGAAACCACAGGCTACAAAACAACCATGGACACCATAGCAAATTCAGCAGTAACAGAAGCCAGTAACCCATAAGGAGGTAGAGGGCAAGTCCCATCTCAGCAGAAACCAACAGTAGGAGGAGGGAGACCATGTACCAGATGGTCCCTCCCACAATGACAAAGAAGTTCCCTTGAATCCCACTGCCACCCAGCAGAGAGGAAAAGTGGCAAACAAATATAAAATGCCATGTATAAAGAGACTAGGCTTACATGGAAGGAGCTAGCAGAATGAAGGCAAGAAGTCAGGCATTAAACTGAGTTAAAGAAGATAAACAGTTACAAAAGGCACCCTTCCTGCAATTTCCAGCATGGGCTGGGAAGGAGACAGTATGGGTGTGGACATCTGGTGAAGTCTGCCCCAGCCACAGGCCCAGAACACAGTCACCCTGTGACTTTGAAGCCTAAGCCTGGGGCTGGCAATATAACTCCAGCAGCTGCACAGGACTCCCTTGGCAAGGCCCCACACAGTCTGCATGTAGCCCCTGTAGCCCAGAGAGTCAAAGACCAAGTAGTCAGTCCCTCTAGAAGCCCTCTGTGACCTATGGGCTCTGAAGTCCTCTGTGTCTTCTGCCTCCACTGGTGCCAGGCTCCCACTACACACCCAGCCACTAGGTACTGATCATCTGCTCCCTGTCTGCACTCAAGAGTAGCCTACTGTCTGCACAGCAACTCCAAACCAGTCCCAGCAAGGCCAAACCAGTGAACTTCTCTGCTACCTGGTAGCCAAACCATTCCTTCTTCATCAAGGTCTGTGCCCCTTCCAAGTATGTCCTCACTTGGACACTCAGCTCTAGAGTACCACCTAGAGTTTCTTTATATCTTACAGTTACTCTTTCAACATAGTTAACAATTCTTTATATTATACTTCTCCTGATTAACCTAATGTATAGTTTGTTTGTTTGTGTTTTTAAGATTTTATTTATTTGTCAGAGAGAGAGAGCACACAAGCAGGGGGTGCAGCAGGTAGAGAGAGAAGCAGGCTCCCTGCTGTGAAAGGAGCCCGATGCAGAACTCTATCCCAGGACGCGGGGATCATGACCTGAGCCAAAGGCAGATGCTTAACCAACTGAGCCACCCAGGCATTCCCAATGTATAGTTTCTATCTCCTGATTGGACCCAGAGGGCTACATCCACCTAGTCTCAAAATCTGAGTCTACCAATATTTCTACTTTCTCCATTTCCTCTCCATCCCTTGGACCATTCCCAGCCCCTCATGTCTCTTTCCTATAGAGATGGTCTTGGACAACCTTAGATCTATTTTATAAACCCTCCCCCAAAATACCATTTTATTTGTCAACTTAGAAACACATAAGGGTTCTCTCCTTCCTATCAGATCAAATATGAACTCTTATGTTGAGATTTTTTTTTGAGATTTTTTTTAAGATTTTATTTATTTATTTACTTTTATTATGTTATGTTAATCACCATACATTACATCATTAGTTTTTGATGTAGTGTTCCATGATTCATTGTTTGTGTATAACACCCAGTGCTCCATGCAGAACGCGCCCTCCTTAATACCCATCACCAGGTTAACCCATCCCTCCCCCCCATAACCCTCAGTTTGTTTTTCAGAGTCCATAGTCTCTCATGGTTCGTCTCCCCTTCCGATCCCCCCCTTCATTCTTCCCCTCCTGCTATCTTCTTATGTTGAGATTTTAAGGCCTTATGTGACCTGGCCTCACCAGCCCCACTGCACATAAGGAATACTTCCTGCCAGATAAAGAGTCATATAAGTGTCTAGCTCTCCTGATACCGCATCTGACTGTCATGTCTGTTTATACTCCTCTTGCTCCCTCTTTTCCCACTTATCCCAGAGCCTTCTGGGGCCAGTTCTAAGAGCCCCCATCCATTAGTTCTTTTGGGAACAATTTCTTCCTACACTTTTGTCTGCATTGTCTTCATCACATAATTGGCATTCTATTATACCCTGTCTTAATTGTCCAACTAGAGATACCACCTCCCAGATTAACCCTGTAATAGGCTTTTCTAATTTATTCATGGCTATTACCCTAAATTATTTTTAACTATATATGTCTTATACAACTTCACTACTCTTCACATAGTGGTAAGCTCAATGTTACATGATGGGAAAAGCAGACTAAATCAAATAGTTTTAACCCTATGTAACAGTTATGGATAGGACCACCGCGAGGCAATATAAAATCCTTCTATAGATTTGAAAAAGACACCCCTTCCTCCAAACTGATGCAGCGTCACAGCTTGGCAAATGGAGCCCAGGCAGAATTTCAACTCAACCCTACAAAACTGTACATGGCAGCACTGGACTCATTAATGTATCACTGACTAAAAGAAGAGTCAAAGTGTATTATAAAAAAACTTTTAAAGGATGTTATCTCTTGAATTTTGTTTTAGTAGAATTTTATGCTACTATATATATATATCACTCTAATCCTAGATAATGTCTCACAGCTTGGGTATTAGATTAGTTTTATGGCAAATTTCATGCATTAGTAGGTATCTCATGTCATTCTTTTCATGACCAATATTAATTGGAGGTATAAGTCTATGCTAGGCCCTGGAGCTAGGCCTTTTGGCACAAATATGGTATCTGACTGGTTTACAGCTCAGTGAATCAATCTATATTTAGAAGAACACAATTTTTTAATGTTATACTTACTGATAAACTTGTTTTGCATAGTCTCCAACAGTGCTTGGTGAGCATCTTCAGCTTGTAAAGCGTGTGAACATTCTCTAGCCAGTATGGTACGTACAAGATGCTCCCCACATCCTAGAAATAAAAGGAAACCAAGAACGGTTGAGGAAAAGCAGTGCTAAACATCCCTCTTGTCTTATTAGCATTAAAACACCCTTATATGCCACTTAAGAAGTAGCTGTTTTGGAGAATAATTCAGTGATGGATGAAATGACTTCTATGAGCAATCTAGAATTTTAGTAATAAGACTCAGCAGAAAATAAACAAATAACTGTCTAATATCAAAAGGAAACAGAGAAAAATAAAAGAAAACCCCCTTTTTATAGGAATGGTTTACATAATATAGGAATTCAGATTCTCTGCCTAGGAATCTCCTAGGATTCTGTCTCATTTCCCTTGTTGGGTAACTACAGAAATTCTGTTTTATAATTTATTTGTTACATACAACTGTCCTAGTCTCCCATTTTGCCTCTGGCATCCCACACACCTGGGTGCATGGGAGAAGTCTAAACAGCCAGGGGCAATCTAGATTTCCATCGACCTATTTTTCACTAAAATGTCCACCACACCTCAACAGCTGCAAAGTGGACTTAATAAAATAGCACCTTTCTCACTTTATAATAGTAACTTACATAGCCTTCAGGGATGAATACTCTGTAATTTAAAAAAAATAAGAATATATTTTTAAATCCCTGGAGTAAACTGGGACCATTCAGACACACTAAGAAAGGGCAGGCATGATGGCGATGGGAAGCACTGCCTAGAATTCCATTACAATTTCTATCTGTTGAAAGTAGAAACTGCATGCAAAAGTAAAGACAAAAGAAATTTAACTTATAGGCTGGTAAGTTCAAATAAAAGATTTCTGAAGAGGCTGATTTTTTTTTCTTAAAATTAAAAAGCTACTTTCATAAACATTGGAGGGGTAAACCTTTTCAAAAAACTACTAAGTGACAGGGCACCTGGGTGGGTCAGTTGGTTAAGTGTCCCACTCTTGGTTTTGGCTCAGGTCATAATCTCATGGGTCGTGAGATTGAGCCCCACATCGGGCTCCACTCTCAGTGGGAAGTCTGCTTGAAGATCCTCTCCTCCTGCCCCTCCCCACCACGCACACGCTCTCTCTCAAATAAATAAATCTTAAAAAAAAATACTAAGTGCCACTTGAAATGCTTATTATATATAAAATCAGTTGCATTAATTAAAATGCAAATACCCTCTTACCCAAATGAGAACAGAAGATACATAAGACCTGCTTCCCATCTCTTAAAAAATAAAATAAAATCTTGAGGGAAGCAGCTCAGCATGGGTACTGGCTGCCTAACTTGCTTACACCAAGTCCCACACACCTGTGCTTTGGTGGTACTGCCCTTCTCAGTCAAGCTTGCTTCAGTCCCAGTGGGACAGGCCCCTCCCCCAGAAGACCAGCAGAAACCCCCGCCCACACCACATGTCCCAAACAGAGTTCTACAGGGCCTCTGTTCTGGTGGAGTTGGTATCAGGGTCATTTCACAAGCAAACCAGAGCACACATAGTTAAAACTCGCCACAGTCAGGCCAGGAACCAAACACTGCCCACAACAAAGGAGAGCCTCTGCAGATGACTGGCCTAAAGGACAGAGCTGCCAAAACACAACAGCACAGGGCACACAGCACACATGGGAGACACTCCCTGAAATGTCAGACCCTGGGACCCTGGGCACTACATGACCTCTTCTTCATAAGGCCATTACTTTCAGGAGCAGGAGACATAGTGGGCTTTTCTAACACACAAAAGAAGGCAAGAACTTAGACAAAATATCAAGCTGGAGGAATTTATCCCAAATGAAAGAAAAAGATAAAGCCACAGCCAGAGAGCTAAGCAAAAAAGATATAAGGAACATGCCTGATGGAGAATTTAAAGCAACAATCATAAGGGTACTCTCTGGGCTTGAGAAAAGAATAGAAGACATTCTATCCCTTACAAGAGAGATAAAGGAGTTAAAAAAGAATTAATCAGAGATGAAGAATACAATAAACAAGACTGCAAGTAGGCTTCATGCAATGAATAGCAGGCTGGAAAAGGCAGAGGAATGAATGAGTGATCTAGAAGACAAAATAATGGAAAATAATGAAGCTGAACAAAGACAGAAAGAATTATGCAACACAAGAACAGACTCAGGGAACTCAGTGACTCCATCAAATGTAATAACATTCATATTATACGAGCCCAAGAAAAAGAAGAGAGAGAAAGGGGGCAGAAAATTTATTTCAAGCAATAACAGCAGAAAACTTTCCTAATCTGGGGAAGGAAACAGACATCCAGATCAGGAGGCACAGAGAACTCCTATCAAAATCAACAAAAGCAAGCCAACACCAAGCCATATTGTAATTAAATTTGCAAAATACTGTGATAAGGGAAAAATCTTGAAAGCAAAGAGACAAAGTAAGTCCTTAACTCAAAAGGGACAACCCATAAAGGTAGCTGCAGATTTCTCAACAGAAACTTGGCAAGCCAGAAGAAAGTGGCATGATATTCTCAAAGTGCTGAATGGGAAAAATCTGCAGCCAAGAACACTCTATCCAGCAAGGCTATCATTCAAAATAAATGGAGAGATAGTCTCCCAGACAAACAAAACCAAAGGAGTTCATGACCACTAAACCAGCCCTGCAAGAAATATTAAAGGAGACTTTTTGAGTGCCAAGGAGAGACCAAAAGTGACAAAGACAAGAAAGGATCAGAGAAAATCTCCAGAAACAATGACAAAACAAATAAAGTGGCAATAAATACATAATCTATCAATAATTACTCTGAATGTAAATGAACTAAATGCTAAATGCTAGCTAAATCAAGAAGCACAGGGTGTCAGAATGGATAAAAAAACAAGACCCATCCACATGATGCTATAAAAGACTCATTTTAGACCTAAAGACACCTGAAGATTGAAAGTGACGGGGTGGAGAAATACTTCTTATGCAAATGGATGTTAAAAGAAAGCCAGAGTAGCAATACTTATATTGGACAAACTAGACTTTTTTGTTCTTGTACTGTTTTTGTTTTTGTATTTTTGTATTTTTTTAAAGATTTTATTTATTTGAGAAAGAGAGAGAGAGAGCAATCACAAGCAGGGGATGCAGGAGGCAGGGGAGAGGGAGCAGCAGGCAGGGGGAGAGGGAGAAACAGACTCCCTGTTGAGCAGGGAGCCGGATGCAGGGCTTGATCCCAGGACCCTGGGATCATGACCTGACCCAAAAGCAGATGCTTAACCAACTGAGCCACCTAGGCACCCCATATTATTTTATTTTTTAAGATTTTATTTATTTTAGGGAGAGATCACACACAAGCAGGGGGAGGAGCAGAGGGAGAGGAAGAGAGAGACTCTCAAGCAGACTCCCTGCTGAGCATGGAGCCCAGCACAAGGCCAGATCTCACCACCCTGAGATCATGACCCGAGCCAAAACCAAGAGTCAGACACCCAACTGACTGAGCCACCCAGGCACCCCTGTTCTTGTATTATTTTTATCCTGCTTTAGTATCAGGGTAGTATTGGCCTCATGGAATAATTCTGAATGTGTTCCCTCTATTCCATTATTTGGAAGATTTTCATAAAGATTGTGCTGGAAGATTTTTGATTCCTAATTCAATTCATTCTTGTTATTAGTCTAAAAAGATTTCCTACTTCTTGGATTTAAGATTCATGAGTGAATCTTAGTACCCTGTGCATTTTTAGGAATTATCTGGGGTTTTTTTCTAAGTTAATTGATGTGTTGGTATAAAATTGTTTATAGTAATCTGTTATCACACTATTTCTGTGGTTATCTGCTGTATTTTTTTCTATTTCTCATTTTGGTTTTTGAGTCTTCTCTCTTTTTTTTCTTAATGTAGTTAAAGCATTGCCAATTTTGTTTATTTTCTTGGAAAAACTGGTCATTACTTTCAATGTTATGTTATTGTTTATTCTGGTCTCTATTTTACTTAAAATTTCTGGGTTTCTTTAATTTCCTTCCTCTACTAGATTTCAACTAAGTTTCTTTTTTTCTAGTTCCTTGTGGTATAGTGTTGTTTATTTGAACTTTTTTCTTAATACAAGCATTTATAGCATAAATTTCACTCTTAACATCTGCTTTTGCTGCATTGCATAGGTTTTGGAATATTGTGTTTTCTTTTTCTTTTGTTTTGAGACATATTTTGATTTGCCAATTGATTTCCTATTTGGCCCATTGCTTGTGCAGTAGTGTGTTAATATTTACATATTAAATATTTAATATATACACTGTAGATTTTTCATCTTTGTTTTATTGTTGGTCTTCAGTTTTGTACCACTGTGACTGGAAAATATAGTTGGTATGATTTCAGTCTTCTTAAACTTGTAATATTTGTTATGTCTCTTTTTATGTGATTTAACCAGGGATTCTTCTGTATATACCTGAAGAAAATGTGTATTCTATTTTTCTTGGATGGAATGTTTTATATATATCTTTTAGAACAACATATTCTGAAGTATGCTTCAAGTAAAAAATATTCTTGTTGAGAAAAAAAATTAAAAGCTCACCTTAAAAAAAATCCTGCCAAAGTTATTCCATTAGTTTATTAGAAATCAAGTTCTACATTCACATAATGGGTAAAGGGTATCAAAGGATCGGAGCACCCATTGAGACTACAGGAGAATTCAACTTATAGTCAAAAAATTCACAGCAAAAGAAGGAGCATCTCTACCATCCACTCAGATTCCCCCACAGGTCCAGGGACAAAGTAATGTTTTCTCATGTTATTAATCTGTATGCACACACACACACACACACACACACACACACTACACTAGTAAAGGTTCTTAGCAATCAAAAAGAAATGTGGGCTAAGATTATCAAATGAAAGAACCTCTCTTAAGTAATGTCTACAAATTTTTAAATTTATGAAACATAAAGCAACACAAACTGATATAATACACAATTCTCTGTTTAGCTGGCATGTATTGTGACAGGCGTTAGGCACCAACAATAAATCACCCTAAAAATACTATCTATAATTGTAAATCATTGTTAAGCCTTTCATATCAGGAATTTTCCCTTCATATGTACAACCTCTCCTTCCCATTCTCT